GAGACAACGGCATCGATCAAACCACCCATCATCAAATCCAACTGAGTTTTGGAGGAGATCGCTATTGATTCCGTATTTGGACTCACTGATTAAATCATCAGATGTTCGATTCTCAGATGACAACTCACCGGCATATTCATTGCTTTTACTACATCCGTTCAATATGTTAGGAAAAAGCAACGAAGAATTAAAGCCCAAAATCAAAGAATTGTCTGACTTCTACAACTTGTCCAATTTGTCCAATGAAACCGAGATATGGCGTTCACTTTGGGAGGAAAAACATTTGAGCAACGAGCAGCTCAAAAACTTGGATTTATGTGACATAATAAAAGAAACTGAAATGTTTTTTCCATCTGTGAAGCATGCACTACAAATATCGTTAGCTCAGCCGTCGACAACATGCACTATTGAACGATCATTTAGCACATTACGGCGTGTTAAAACTTGGTTGCGCTCTACAATGGGGGAAAGCCGTCTAAATGGTATGTTGTCAAATCATTATCATAAATTGTGATGATTAAATTTTTCCGCGAATTTTAGGTTTATGTATGTTGAGCGTACATCGAACAATGGTGAAGGAAAACGCAGAAAATATACGAGAAGAAGTGCTCACCCGTTTTGCTCAAGACCCGAGAAAATTACTTTTTTAATAATAAGTTAATTTTATAGTGAATTTTGATACTAAAAAAATTAAATATGTCCTCGTTTTTCAATAGAAAAAAACTAAAAAATGTCCTCGATTTTCAAATATTTCTTGTTTTGCCCCTACCTTAACGAAATCCTGAGAATGCTCTTGATTTCGAAGTTCTGGGCATAGGCAATTCATCAAAAACGGAATTTGTACGAAGAGTCGCATTCTACGATGAAATTGCTGCCAAAAATACGCATCTACTGGCTGAAAAAGGCTCACAAAAGACCATATCCGCTCAATTTTCGACGAGCAATCGATCAAAAGTAGTCACAATGCGATCTGAGGGCATTTCATGGTCGAAAAATAGGTCGGATTTAAGTGAATTTTTCAACTTGCTCTATTTTCACTGAAAATGATGTTTTTGTTCGGAAAACACGTGAAATACACCTCTGACATCGTTTTGGTCTGAGAAAACTGCTGTTTTTTCGTGAAAATAATGGGAGTCCACGAACACTTGAATATCCATTTCGTTGTCATTTTGGTCATAAATCGGCATTTTGGCATCTGAATGTATGTAATTGAACTTTTGCTCGGGGGATACATAAAAAATGCACTTTCCAGAGCTTTGGTGGTTGGAAATTAATATGTTTCAATGAAGTAATGTGTCTAAAATTACTTCAAAACTCTTTTAATGGATATTTTGAAATTTAATCACATTTTACAATGTCCAATAAGGGGAAAATGGGACTTTTTTTAATGAAAGTGGAAATTTGCTATTTACAAAACTTGTGGAATGTATATGCAAATGTTTTACCCGAAAAATTACAATTTTCCAATGATAAGACCTTAAAATAGACATATTTCTGACAAAAGTGTATTTTTCCGAAAATAATTGCCTTACAAAAGTAGTGATATCAGATGAAAAACCTCTAGACGAGGTTAAAATGGAGTGACGCTTTGACGCTGTATTACCTCTGGGTACGAAGTTCAAAAGTGTTTTTCGCATTCACTATTGTGAAAATTTATTTACAATAAGGAAAAATATCGCGTCACGACTTTTGAATTTAGTCTCCAAGTCAAACTTTCAAGCGTTTTGCCGTCCAAAAGTCGTGACGCGATATTTTTCCTTATTGTAAATAAATTTTCACAATAGTGAATGCGAAAAACACTTTTTAACTTCGTACCCAGAGGTAATACAGCGTCAAAGCGTCACTCAAAATGATATCAGTCATTTTGAGTGGTAAATCCACGCACAGGAGCGTCACTCCATTTTAACCTCGTCTAGAGGTTTTTCATCTGATTACGTTAACAAAAATTTCCTGTAATGTTATTACTATTGTAATAGCTATTACCGGTAATGCCAAATGACTGGCATTACAATTGTAACACATTATCGGTAACGCTAAATTTTGGCATTACAATTGTAATAGCATTACTTTGGCTCTTCGTTACAATATTAATGTGTTACGGCAAAATGTAAATCTGTACACTCATGTATTGTTTGTCCTGACGTGAATTATGAATTTTTTCAATTTATTTATTTTTACATGAAATAAAATCTCTTTTACAATAATACGCATATAATATTTCATTGCCATCAATCCACATTAATGTACGTTGTATCGAAAAACAATTAAAAAAAATTTCTTCAAACTTTTGAAATTTTCATTTGAAAATCAAAACTGATATGTGAATCCGCTATTTAAGCCGCGGGAATTCTAACGGCATATTCATTAACAAAACCAAGGATTACAAAATCATGAAAATAAAAAAAGTAGGACAGACAGACGGACATTCAGTTTTATATATGAATGTCCGAGAATGAAAACGCAACTTCTATTCACAACACATATAAGTGAAACAAAAATAAAAAATTTATTGAAATGAAACAACAAAATCGAATTTTTTCAAAGTGTAACAACAAAAAAGATTTTTTTAAAGTGTAACATCGGTATGTAGTAAGTGTAACAATCTTTTTTGTTGTTACACTTTAAAAAAATTCGATTTTGTTGTTTCATTTCAATAAATTTTTTATTTTTGTTTCACTTATATGTGTTGTGAATAGAAGTTACGTTTTCATTCTCGGACATTCATATATAGATAGTGCGCATTTCAGAATAAAATGATTGACCATTAGTTTTGTTTTCGAAACTTCACTTTACCGATTCTAACAGAACAAATTATTGACAGTACGAATAAAATTAAAACGCTCATTTCATTTGACGAATTTTACATTTTATTTTAAAAATCGACTTTTTTCTTTTATATCACATAAACATTGGCATGTGTGTATGGAACTTTTTGAAGGTCTTCTCAAATAATTACGAGCTGACTTTGCCCGATGGGCGTCTGAGTTGATCTAGTGTGCGAAATAAATACTTGAAAAAATCGTGTACTAGTATACTAGCGAAGCCATAGCCAGCTCTCCTGTTATGCAAATGTCAATCTGAAGACGGATTTCAACGTGCCCCGACACTAGGTACAACTTGGGCATATCGACACCAGAATCTTTGGGGGTCAAAAAAATTCGTGGACACACGGGGACACGTACATCCAAATCAATACTTTCATAGAAAATCAAGATCAAACTGCCAATACCCATAACTTTTTTGTTTTCGGACCAATCGGGGCACTTAGACCGGCGTTGGAAAGGAGGCGAGGAGGAGCTTCTCTTGGACACCTCAGACCACCCCCTGGGTACCCCCTTCGTAAGATATGGGTATAGATTTGAAGAAGATATGGGTATAGATTTGAAAATTTATAGAAATTTTCCAACCGCTATGTTTTTGCCCAGACCACACTTTAGGCATGGGAGATATGGTGTTTCCGACTATTTGGGCCAAGACCTTTCCAACGGTATCTAACATGCCGGGCCCAAATAGTGTCCTGAGAAAATAGCATATTTACTGTATATATACTCGTGACGCAAAAACTGGCATTTTTGATATTTGGCTTGAAATGCACAGTCTATGGAGCGTCACTTGTCGGACTATCGTCCTCCGTGATATTTGCATTTTTGCATTGGCAAATTTGAATTCATAATCAATCTCTTGAAAGATGGCGCTAGTGCATCTGGAATCATAAACGTCAAAAATGCCGTCTGCCTATTCAGTTCATCTTGACAGATACACGAATCAACATCAAAACCATTTGAATACAATTTCCTTTAAGTTTTCGAAATCCAATTTACTACAAACGGTGATCGAGTCAATTAGGTGGACGGTTTAACTTTTGTGACGACAAAATCATGTTCTTCGGTAAATTAAATCTCTAATTTTCTAAATGGCCATTATATTTGTTCAATGAAAACAAAACAAACTTTGTTCTGAATTTCAAAAAGGTTTGAAGTTAGTGGAAAGTCCACTCTATACCATCGAATTTAGTGATTGTCTGTTCATCGCAAGCGGAACAGTCAACTTTGATGCAGTCAGAGCAAGGCAGGTAAAATCCGTACAGTTCTGGATTCGTCAAGACGGAAAAGACCATTTGTTTGCCATTGCTGACAAGCAGAGTCCCCACATCTTAATCAATCTGCGATTTGATGCCGGCGAAGTGATCGGATTTTAACTCATTGGAAAGGTCGGGGCATACTTGAGTGGGTATTCCGGCGATATAACCACCCAAAATGTCGTTTCACCACGGATTACAACGGACGAAGATGCCGCACACGTTCCAAACAAAGGTAATAAACAAAAAACGACCATCACCAATGGCAAAACGGAATCAGGCAACGCGAGCTCTTCCAGCAGCCAAAAAGACAAACAAATGGATAATGCAAATGACGAAATTCAGGCCAAAATGGGTGATGAAGTGTGTGTGCACTACGAATGCTTGTTGCAACCAAGCAATGAGGCTGTGATAAGTTTTAGGATAATCTGAGATATATAGAACAGAAGGAAAAAATCTGTAAGAAATTCTTTCGCTGGATTGAGATAAATAACCCTGCGTTGTCGCAAAATTCTTGTAGGGTAAAGAATACGCGAGAATGGCGTGAGGGAAATTTCAGCTATACCATTTATCACTGCCCAGAAGACGTACGTCTTTCGTGTGGTAATTATATAAAAGACATGAGAAAGGCGTGAATACGTGAACAACGTCTTTTAAAAGCAGAGATTACTGTGGGATATTTTTATTCATATGGGATAAAAATATCGCATAAAAATAACAGATATTTTTCACGCGTTGTGTGATTCCAAGCCGCAGGGTTATTCATTATTTTTTTTATTTATCCTGTTTATTAATTGGAAAAAGACTTCAATCATACAAACTGCATTGAATGATAAATTCCCCTAGTAGAAAATTTAGGAAAAAAAAACTGGAAAAAAATATCATAAAACAAAAATCACGTAAAATTTAGTTGTGTATTGATGAAAAACATATTTTAATTAAAAAGAAGACAATAGTAAAATACTTTTCTCTTCAATCGCGAGGGAAGAACAAATTACGAAAACCGAACAATAAGCTTTTTAATATAACACTATCAACCTTGGCTCCATTGTCGATGAGAAGTTTAGCGACATCTGTGTGGCCTGAAAAATAGTACAGACGAATGAAATAAAAAGATCCAACCAATTTCTTATTTAGTGTAAATGAATATTGAACATTACTTTTCATTGCAGCATAATGAAGAGGTGTCTGTTTCACATTATTTTCAATATTAACGTCGGCTCCATTGTCGATGAGTTTTCGAGCTTCCTTCGCATCACCTAAAAAATAATTTAAACCATATATGAGCGAGGAGGGGGACCGATTTAACCCCCCACCCCCTCCTCCCCTCACGTATGTATGATTCAGACCAATGATGTAGATCGAACGAAACATGCTTTTCAAACATAAATGCCCAAATTTACCAGTCTCAGCAGCTCTATGAAGGGCTGTCATTCCTTCTGCGTCTCTTTTGTTTACTAAAAATAAAAATAAAAAGATTAATGAAGTGAAGTGAAAGAAAATGTCTTATGTCCAATGTCAAGAGCGTGTTATGAGCTGTTGTCGGCAGCACTAACTAACGTCAGTTGCTGATATCAGCTGCTGACGAGTATGCGTTACGTTGTTTTAACGCATTTTAACGTATGCATGCATACTTGTCAGCAGCTGATATCAGCAACTGACGTTAGTTAGTGCTGCTGACATCAGCTTATAACACGCTCTGCTTATGTCAGTGAGATGAACTTTTTACAAACACTCTCGTCTCGTTATATATCGCATATAATATAAACCGCATTGAACAAAGATCAGAGATTAGAATAGATTAAAATAGACATAGATCTTACACCCTTGTATTCATGTTGTATACTCCATACATAAAAAAGTGTTTTATATAGGGAATTTGTGAGTGAAACTTCATGAAGAAATGAATCTCCAATCTTACCGTCTGGTTGTTCTGCAGATTTGGTCGGTTGTGGAACTTTTGCTTTCGCTTTCACGATTTGAACAGCCGGACTCATCACAACAGGTTTGGCATATTTGTTTGGTGCATCTGGCTTTCTTGTAGGTAGACATTCAGTCATTGAACCGTTTTTCTTTCCGAGATCTTCAAATTTGTTGACTCGGTCTTCTACTATGCCCCCACTCACATCCACGATTAAGAACTGTGTAAATAAAACAAAGTGATTTCATTGGAATGAGAATAACGGATGAGATTGTAATGGTTTTCGACTGTCTTTCACAAATGGTGAAGAAATGGGGCAACATTGTTGACAGCGCCACTTCAAAGCGGTTGGCCGGTCCACTACAGTCAGTCGTAACGCAAAGTGGCACAAGCATTCCCATTTTTTGCATCTAATCGTCGCGTTCATACGCGTGTGTATGCGAAAAATGGTACAAGCTTGTGCCACTTTGCGTTGCGATTGACGTATGCTTCTGATTAAAAAATAAACAAATTAAAGTTAACTGAAACCAAATGAAAAGTAGTTTCAAAAAAAATTAGAAAACATATTTCCTGAAAGAGTACCTACCTTTTCTACTTATAGGGTAATGGTTTGTAAGTTGACCATGCATGTAAGTTGACCACCACATGGCATTTCGTATTTCTGACGGTAGAAAGTTTCTACTAGAAACGCCAGAGTTTGAATTGTCAACGTCATTAAAACAGCACACTCAATATTATAGCGACATCTATTATTAAAATAGCTTGTAGTAAATGCATTTATAGCATTTCCCTGTAGTTGCGATGTTTCCTATTAAATTCCCTTGTAGTACTGACACATTCATGTTTGACACTTGTTAGCGACATACCACAGGGGAATTTAATAGGTAACATCCATTTAAAAAAGACCAGCGAACTACGAAACCACATCAAAAGAATATACGAAACAAATGAACTGCTGTTTCCACAATGAATAATACACACATTTTTGTTTTTTTTCTGAGTTTTTGGATACTTGTTTTCATGTTGCATCGCAATAATGACCAATTGATTTCGATTTGGTAACTTTTGTCTAATTTCATCAAAAAAGAAACAAAAAAATCAGTTCATTCAACTTGCTTATTAAAAATTTTGTCGAGATAGCTTATTATTTCCGTCCACATTTTTTGATTTAATTAAAATCAAAGTTCATTCTCCAAATATTTGACTGATTTGCAGTTCTTCGATTAAAGTTCAGTTTTTTCAATACTTGATTATTTTGCATTTTTGAAATAGAGTTGAATAAAGTTTCAGCTGAATGTCATCTTTCTTGCAGGAGTTTTCAAATTTTACAAGTTAACTCATACGGGATAATTTTACTTTATTTTTTGTGCATATATTATTATCCATATACGATGCATAACATCACTCTAAAAACTCCATATAATTTAATAAAAGTATAGACATGCATAGCAATATGCCTATAGTAGGCATACATATGTTTCATTTTATTTGCACGAAAATGATATCATTAACATCTTATGCACATAATATGTATATATTATGCATAAAAAAGCCTTTCATTATCTCTATACAAAAAAACAAAGCATCTCTATGCATACTAATATACAGACATTATGGTTAAAAATTATGCATATTTTTGGGTGATTTCATACAAAAAACGTGACGATTTATGTATAAATTAGGCATATTTTCATACAATTTCGTGATGCAATTCACCATTAATGGCTCATTGGGAGTATTCAAACGACAATAAAGACAATCGGACGTTTCATTTCATTTGAATACCCAACATCAAGATTCTCTGAATCATAATACAATTTTCCATGAAATACATGAACGTACTGTTGTTTTTTTTGAAAATTCTTATAAATTTCCTAGGCAAAATCTGAATAAAAGCTGAACGCTATGAAAACGGTGCGGATGAGTTCGTCTTACGGAGGTAAGACTATTTATATGGAATTGACATCGGGTCCACTTTAAAGTATTTTTATGATTTTTTTTTCAGTTTCGGCAAATTTTTAGTATGGCAAGTCGTCGAAGCTGATCCACTGATCGTGGTATTTCGGATTACGAAAAATCACTCCGTCCAATCAAGGTAATCAAAGTGGACAAGAAATCAGTACAGAGCACAGCGCTTGCTCACAATATTGACCGAAAAAGTTTCGGTCAACAATTCGATCAAATGTCATATGTGTAAGGCATACGTTCATGCCAAATGTGTGAACATGCGCTTCAGTGTTTACGTCTGTCCAGAATGCGATTCGAAAGCTTCAGATCTTGTTGTCGACGAAATTGATGAAGATGATTTTGAATGATGTGCATCCGACACCAATTTTCATCGAAAATATACCAAATTTGCCGTTATTTCTGTGTTCAAAGCCAATAAAACTAATGAACATTCAATAAAATTTCATAAATTTTGTAATTGGAGCGTTTGCACTCAATATTCTTTATATTCTCAGAGATTTTCAGGGGGTGGTCAACTTGCATGCCAACAATTCTTTTTCTCGATTTCAAGCCACTTGGAAAATCGGCTGGGAAAAATTCATTTTCCATTAAATCAAATAATTTTCTATGGCCAAGTTGTAGCTTTTGAGGTTCTCTTTCCAACAGTATTTCAAAATCTACGACATCTCGATTTTTCGAAAAGTTATGAAAATATCAAGGATACATGGTCGACTTACAAACCTCTCCCCTATTTAACCAAATTTACGTAGGTTTTGTTTCGCTACAAAACTTTGCTTTTTAATCAGAATGCAAGTATGAAGTTATTGAAAAGAATTCATTTTAAAGCACTATTGTAACGAAACAAAACCTACGATTCAAAACGTGAAAAAAATTATTTCGATGTTGTACTAAATTCGGTGCAAAATTTACAAGTGAAAAAATTCCAAGCAACATTAAAATTACAAATAAATCGACGAAAATCTTAGAATGACAAAAAATGTGACTGAAATTGTCGACTCACCTCGGATACCACCAAGCCAATGAGTAGCAGCGTGAAAGATCTTCGACTCAGCATTTTTCCAGCTTTGAACTATAAAAAGTTTATTGTAAACGTATCACTTGATGAGAATTGATGAACCGTTTGATGGAAATACGAATCGAACGCATCTCCTTATATACTCAGTGCAAGCAACACATTAACGATATAATTTAATCCACGTGCAATGAAGATTATAAATGCACAAAATATTATCGCGTACATTGGTGGAATTGTCCATAATTTTGCCTTTCACATCGAATAGATCGCATCGAAAATACCAGATGTTCATGTTCATTACTTCATCACGTTCATGATGGTTTAAAAACACCGCAGTTGGATCACATTGAATTGCAAATGTAAGCAAATATTTTCCACTCTTAAAGTGTTGAGTGGTGTTCACTCGACGTGGCTATTTGAATATGGAAATACAGCGATTTAAAATTCACGATTTGTCCTTATGCTATTCACGTGATAATATTCTAATGACTTTATTGGAATATGAAAATGTTCACATCTTCACAGCATGTACAAACTAGGGAGATTTCTCACACAAAAAGTTTGAGCAAATGTGCAAAAATTCAAAACCCACTTCCAGAACAATTTCATTGAAGCATAATTCAAAAGTTCAGTGTTAATGTACATTTATTTACACGAATTGACAAAAATTGATCGAATCGGACCGAATTGAAGAAATTTTTCAAAATTTTTAAGAATTCATTCATTTTTTTCGTGAGAAATCCCCCTAGTGTACAAAACACACTCCGCTTCAAAGTCGTTTCCAAGTTAAATAAAAAGAATTACATTGGTAATCCCGAACTTTTCCGTACCGTTGGCCTGCGTTGTCCGTAGGTACTTTTGGTTATTTTTTGTGAATTTTCTTGGCAGTGAAAATATAATAATAAAAATAAAGTGAAAAATTCTCATTGGCTTTAAACTTTCTGAGGTTTCATTTTTTGGAGAAAAAATAAGATTCTGAAAGTTTCATGTTGATCGCATTTGCAGAAGTTTGTATTTTGGCCCTCAATTTTTCCCAAGAAAATTTCGACAAAAATTGAGGACAAAAAATCAAACTTCTGCAGATGCGATCAACATGAAACTTTCAGAATCTTATTTTTTCTCCAAAAAATGAAACCTCAGAAAGTTTGAAGCCAACCAGAATCGATTAACGGGTACCTCCCATACAAAATTGTCCAAAAATCGGTAATTTTAGTCAAAATTTCAAAAAATTTGTATAGGAGGTACCCGTAAATCGATTCCGATTGGTTTCAAAATTTCAGAATCTTATATTTATCCCAAAAAATGAAATCCCAGGAAGTTTGAAGCCAATCGGAGTCGATTTACAGGTACCTCCCATACGAAAGTGTCAATTTTTTGAGGTTTTTCTTAGGGCAAGTACCCCAGGGTCAAATCGAAAATAGCTCATCTTCGAACTTAAACTAAGTTCATTGGATACAAAACTTTTGGGACTTTCAGATTTGGATTATCTCAATTATTTTTTGAGTTATCGTGTTTACAAACAGCTACGACGACAACGACAACGA